TCTCAATCATCACAGCATATCCAAAATCACTAGAAAGGAATGATTACAGATCAGCAAATTCCTCCCCATGTTTGTTTGCTCTGATGCTGGAAAGGCATGCTGTGTTTAAAAAATGCGTTTAATCCTTTGTTGGGCCGAGGTTGATTGAGGTTCATACTAAATAGGAGATTACCACGCAACAAGTCTAATCAGGCCGGGCTTTTGAAAGCCCTGCTTGCTTTTCCATGCAGAAACGCTGCCATGCCTTGTTTCTGTGTCTCCCACCACAAGCTTTTCACATTCTTTCCAGGCTTTAGCGCGTGGTTGTCCTTGCTCCATAATGACAGTTTTCTTACTAAAACTGAGCCAAGGTCACACAGAGAGAGGAGGGGAGGTGGCGGCTGGGAGAAGTTTCTTGATAGAGCTTATCCAGGACGAAAAAAAAACCCCAAACACACATTCAGATATGGCTGGGAAGCAGCAAGCCCGTTTGCATAAAGCTACTGCCTGTTTCACCCCAGGGACAGCATCCTTCAGAGACTAGCAAAAGCAAGGGGAGGTAGACTCAGTCCTGGGTCTCCAGGGCTTGGGGCAAAGCTGCATTGGGGCTTGCAGCATTTCCAGGGTCAGTGGCTGCTGAGGTCAGAGGGGGAGCAGCCAAACTGGCTTAGCACCCAGCATCTCCTTTGGTCTGGATATCTCAGAGCTTCCTTCTGTAACTCCTTGGTCTCTTCAAGGCCAGGTTAAAGGAAGGGGAGAAATGCCTTCAGAAGGAGGTGGAGAAGGAGGCTTGTAAACCTGCCAGAAAGCAGCGGGCGGCTTTGGGAATGGGGAAGGCCAGAAGCTGCTTGCATTTCCCGTCTGCTGCTGCCTCTCCCAGAGTGCTGACCTGGGAGGGAGCAGCTGAGGCTACGCCAGCCAGAACGAGATGCTGCTGCTTACGGAAGGTTTCCCCTTCTCCATATAAAGTAATTTTGAAAGGAAAATAATTTCCCAGCAACTTAGGAGACTGGAGTGGGTCTATTTTCAGACTTGGAAGAGCTTGTGAGGGTGAACAATGTCCTGCTTTGATTTGCTGTCTCACGGGGAGCGTTCTCAGTCTTGTTTTATCCAGGACTGTGGCGTGGCGAGGCTGGCTGGGAACCAGGCTGGCGCCCACGCAAGCTCAGTGTGTGATGCACGGCTTCATGGTCAGCACTTCCCACGCACACCCAAGTGCCAGGGCATACCCCACAGAGCTTATTTTTGCCTTTAGTTACGTACCTGTAGCCCCCTTGATTTTAGCAAAAGAGTTACTGCTTCACTTGGTAGAGTGTGATTTATTTGTGTGTGTGTGGACACCAAGATCAGTAAGAACCAGCCCACCCTGAGCTGTGACAGACCATCGTGGTACCAGTGATGGGCAGATGGCGGGACTGAGAGGTACCAGACTTCTGCTCGCTGTGGCTGAGCAGAGAAGAGGTGCCTGGCACAGGAGCAGTGCTGGGAACCGATGCCAAATGATAGCCTCATCCAGGAAGTCACCGGCCCTGCCATATGCTGCTGTGGCAGAAAAGTGACTGCATAACAGCAGTGGGAAGTCCTCTCCAGCTGCTGCGTTGACATAACACAGGCTGTCAGCTCCCTGTGATCTGCAGAAAAAAACAATCCCTGTGCTTTCAGGCTCCTCTCCCGGGGTGAATGTGCTTGCTGGCTCTGTAGATAAGGCAGGGAGAGCTGTATTTGCCTTACAAACAGTGGTCAGAGCAGGGAGGAAACGCCTGAAGTGGCAGTGGAGAGCAGCTGACCTCCATCAACAGCCTGTGCTGTCCTCTTGGCCAAGGAGCTGCTGCATCATCAGGGCACGTACCAGCAGGGAGCATCCCGTACATCCACAGTGCCCCTGGTGCAGACCCTAGTGGGGAGCAGAGACCCCTCAGCCGCATCCTGGGGACCTCAGAGACCTCTCCCTCATCTGGGGAGGGGGTCTCTGGTCTTGGTGACCATTTTCACCAGCAGGTGCAACCCGCAGGTTCCCAGCCTGATGGAGAAACGTTCCTGGTTGTGGACAGTGCTGCAAGTAGAGCAGCAAGGCCTCTGAGATACAGGCTGTAGGATAAGGGGGCTTCTTGCTGGCAGGAATCAAGTCATCCACTCTGCACAAGGTGGGCTTGTTTCCAGCCCTGCTGAGCACATCGTGGCCTTGCTGCCTTCACAAGGACCTCCAAAGCAAGAGGGGGTGACTTGCGTGAGGGATTGTCCTGACATCCTCTGAAGTCCCCTGCCTTGGGGGGCCATGGGGGAAGAGTATGAGTGGGACCAACACCGGCAGTAACAGGGTGGCTGCCGTGCACCTGGGTGTCAGCTTGCTGTGGTGGGCGCCTGCCTACTGCTGTGGCCTGTTGTGATTTGACTTCAAATATGCTGACTTCTTGGCCTTTCTCATTTATTTTTAGCAGAGGAAGAAGCCCAGCTCTAGAGTTTTGGCTGTCCGGATTTAAGTCAAATATCCTGAGAGACCAAGCCGACTCTTCCCATGACACTGTTGCACCTCTTAGGATGTGTATTCCCTCCCGGCCCCAGGGCTGTGCCGGGTGGAGGCGGAGGCCTGTGAATGCTCCGGGTTCATTCTGCAGCCAAAGGCGGAGTCTCGCGTTCCTCCTGGTTGGATCAGGATGTACATCCCGAGCTCAGGGCTGCCTGGTTACGGCCAGGCTCTTGCTGTGCTTCGGCTGCTGTGCCAAAGCACCATTGCTGTGAAGCTGTGCAGGCAGTCCCCCTTTCCAAGGAAAATAAACAATTTCTCCTCACCCAGGAGATGGGCAGAAATTACCTCTCCCTTTTTCCCTGCCAGCAGTTGCTGCAGAAGATTCCCGGTGTGACCTGCTCCTGGCAGGGCGAGCAAACATCCATGGGCAGAGGGCATCTGGGCCTTCGACACAGGGAAACTCAGTGGCAGCTGGGACTGAGAGACACCTCAGGCAGTGGATTTAGTGGTGCCTTGAATACCACCAGTTCCCAGCCAGGAAAGATTTGGAGAAGTGTAACAGTGCCTTAAAATCTGCCTGATCTGGATTTTAACTTAAGAATCAAGATGTCTCCTTTTCTGCAGTGGGAGATGGTGGTCATTTTGGGGCAGCTGTGTTTCTCCTGCCTCGTGGAGAACCACAGCAATGGGTGATAAAGAGGACGGTGTCATACAGGAGCAAATGTATCCCTGCCTCCTGGGGACAGGCCCCAAGCTCTGCCCTTGGAAGAACACCTTGCACATGGAGGATCTCACTGGCCAGAGCGAAGGTGATGTGCTGGGTCCTTGCAGAGCATGGGGTGAGCTAAGCATCCTGAGGACATCTGGCCCCACCGGAGCTGCCATGGGCCCTGCTGTTCAAGGGACAGCAGAAAAAGCACAGCAGGGCTGCGCAGGAAATGGCTGTGCTAGGGAAGGGGAGCAGAGTGCATGACCTGAGGTGGCCCCATTGTGGGGACAGCAATACCCTGGGCTGAGAGTACAGAGCTGGGCACGGTCTGGATGGACAGATCTGCTCTGGGCAACCTGGAGCAAGGCTGACTCCAGCACCTTTCCATACAGGAAAGGGTGCTGTGACTCTAACACACCCCTCTCCTGGCCAGTGCGCAGCAATCAATTCATGCAGAAGCACAACCAACAGCAGCAATGTAATGAAATGCTGCTTAAATCCTTTTCTCAGCTGAGAGACTCAGTTCTGTGCAGATGAGGAGCACCTGGGTTGTGGTATCTGCCAGGAAATCAGCTGGTACTGGTCATTAGGAGTGGTTTTAACCATCGCCTGGGGCTGCACATAAAAATTCCCTGCTTCTATGCAGCTGCCTCCTCTTAAAACCAGGTCAGGGATACCTCTGTAATGGCAAATTTGGATTGCAGCCACCCTGGTCTCTTAGCAGCTTCCCACCAGCAGGCTGTGTACAGTCATTCCTGGACAGAAGAGCAATCACTTCTCTGGGCTTACACCAGCTGCTCAGGAGCGGGGAGCCACCTCAGCATCCTTTGGGCTAAGATATAGGGATGGCTGCTGTCCTCTGGCTGGTGATACCAGCATGGAACTGCCCCCAAATCCTGCAGGGAGAAAAAGATACCAGGTTTCTGCTGGAAGGTGTTGGTGCAGTGGGATGTACCCGAAACCCGCTCCCCACTGCCTGCAGGAGGGCTGCAGGGCAGAGTGCACACGCAGGGCTGAGGTCAGTGCATGTTCAAGACCACAGGAAGGAGCATCAGGACCCCAATCTGCCCCCCTTTTATGGGACTGGGGCTGTGAGCCAGCATACCCAGAGGCTTCTCTTGGGCTGGCTCTGGAGTACTTGTTCACATAGGAAATGCCTTGTCCTGGTGGAGCCTAATGGGAGCTTCAGTTTCCTGTTGCTGCCTGCATCTTCAGAGCAGAAGGGGAAAAGCTGCTGTGTTCTTCAGGCTATCAATAAGTGGAAATAAACACTCTGTGCTTCTTTGGTCTGTGCTTCCTATTGTGGGGAATTAATAGCTGCATATTGCAAAACAGCCCTGCTAAAGAGAGGTTGAACAGAAAAGGCCATTCTTCCCTTTCTGGGATAGGGGTTACGTCTCCAGCCCGAGGGGTAAACATCTCCAGCCAAATCTGCAAAACAGCTCTGTTCCCATCTGGTTTTGGAGACAACTCCCTGTTTAACCAGGGACTGGAGCTCTCTGGGGCAAAGCGGAGCTCTGCATTCACCTGTTCCTTCCCAGACCCCTCCAAGGAGAGCTCTGCCACCCTCCAGCCCTCTCCTTTGGCTGAGTGTTGCACGCAGGTAAAACAGGAGCAGTATGTGGGGCAAGTGCCCATCAGCCTGAACAGCTTAAGGACAGATGCACATATAGCTTTGGAGAGGGAAGTGCTGTGATATGGGATCAGACCAGCTTTGCTCCAGGCAGGAACCCCCTTCACCTCATCCTCAAAACCCGTCAGAAGTGATTAGCCCCATGTAAAAGGCTGGTCAGGACAAAGGCTTGCAGTCACCCAGTACTTAAAAGCATTTCTCTTGTTTTGCAGGACCCTCCATCGTGACCCCTCCAAAGGACATCTGGAATGTGACAGGAGCACAGATCTACCTGAGCTGTGAAGTCATTGGTATCCCCACCCCTGTCCTCATCTGGAACAAGGTGAGTGACCTGCTGGGAACTCTTAAGAGCACAGGAAACCTGAGGCAGCCAAAACTGCCTGGTAAGCATACAGACCATCGCAGATCCTTCCTTAGAAACACACAGCTTTGATGAGATCTCCCATCTGTGCAGTTCTGTCCACCCCCAAACATCTGGCTTTGCTTAGTCTTTAGTCATGGCTTTCTCTAAGCTCTTGTTGATCCTGAGGCAGAACAGGACTTGGTAGCACTTGGTATTCAGAGCACGCAGGGAATGTCCCTTGACCTGCTGTCACCCTGCTGGCAGCAGTGACTGAGGTGGCTGGACATGGCTCACCCACATCAGGAACAGGAACCGCATGGGGCAGCTATCACCAGTAGCCAGCAGCGCACAATTTTGGCAGCGTGCTGGTAACACCTGGCTTAGGGCAGGGGCCAGTGTTGAGCAAAGATCCCAGTTACAGATAGGGCTGAGAGCCAGTGCATGGCTGAAACAATACTAGATTAAGAATAGTACAGAGGAAAAAAACAGACTGGCTCAGAGAGACAGCAACCTCTACTCCTAGGGATCCCAGAGCAGACTGTTGGCTGAGCACACAATGCAGTTCATTTTCTGCTTGTTTACAAGCCGTCTTTACACTGATTGTCAGCGCTGCTCTGCTTTTCGTGCCTCTTCCTCATGGCCAAGAGACTACTTGATCTGGTGATAACAAGGGCCGAGCACCACTTACCCTGTGCTATGCTCTGGGCTCTGACACACAGCACTGGGGAATGACCGCACTGCTGCTCTCGTTGACCTACCAGGAAGAACTGCCTGGATCTGCAGGGCTGCCCTTGGGCTACTGGGAAGAGCATAGGTCATGCAGGGAGAGACCATCCCAGGAACAACATGCAGATGCTCAGTTCTCTGCTACTGCTATGCTAAAAAGCCTGATCATCAGGGAAGTTGTGGGGGAGGCTCTTCAAACAAGAGCAGTCAGCTCCTGCTGTCCCCCAGTCCCAAGCCAGAAGGCAGCTGGCTTCAGGCTGCTGACCTGGATTGATGTGTGGCTATCAGAAGCTGCGGGCAGCCAAATCCTCCTTGTTCAGCACAGGCATTATTTGATGGGCTAAGCACACCACTGGGAACATGCACGCAAGTTCTGTGAGGGCATCAGTGCAGGGTGTGTTTGCACACCCCACTGCCCAGCACCATCCACACCAGAAAGCCCTGCTCCTCTCTGTTCCTGCTGCGGGAACGGGCACACAGTCTCAGTGCAGACACCAAGGCATTGGAGTAGTGAGGCTGCACTATGCAGAGGATAAGGTGAAATGCTGGCATTAGAAAAAGCACTGCTCCTGCACAGAACACATTCATGTAAAACTAGCGCCGATCTTGTCTACATGCAGGTATGGTCCTAACAGTTCTAGCATACATAAGCCCTGAAGTTATCACACCTTTCTGCCTTCTGTTTAGATAATTCGGGGACAGTTTGGTGTGCAGAGGATGGAGCTTCTGCCTGGGGACCGAGAAAACTTGGCTATCCAGACCCGAGGGGGCCCTGAGAAACACGAAGTGACTGGCTGGGTGCTCGTAAGTATTTTGTGCATGCACAGAGCTGCACAAACACTACAGCACAGTCTGCAAACAGCTCATGAACAGAGAACAGTGTGAAAGACACTTCATGCCCCTCTGTTCATCTCATTATGTCTCAAGCAATTAACAAGTTATATAAGATAACTTAAAACAGATCACCTCTTACCTATGCACAGTATACTTACCAGGGATGGGGGGTGTCTTTCTTCCCCTAGATATCTCCTCTGAGCAAAGAGGATGCTGGAGAATACGAGTGTCATGCATCAAATGCCAAAGGAGAGGCAACAGCTTCTGCAAAAATCCATGTTGTGGAAACTCTGCATGAGATAGCCATGACCAAAGGTAGGTAGTGTGGCTGAACACTCAGCAGCGCTTTCCCCTAACAGTTTTCTCATTTATCTGATACAGAGGGACCACCTCTGTTTAATGCTTTCTGAAAAAACCCAAAACAAACAAAAAAACCCCAGCACACGAGAAATACCAGTTTAGCATGCAGCTTTGACTGGGTTTGGCAAAATATTACCAGGAAATCTCAGCTACTAGAGTTCTTAAGGGATTGTTAAATAACTCCCCAAGTGCTGTAAAGTACTGGAGATTAAGATACCAAATTAAAAACACCTTTTGGGGTTTTTACAAAGCACCTTTCAGTGGTTTTCCAACCCTAAATTTGTGCCGTCCTTTGTATCTCCTGTAGGAAAATTATTAACAGCACCTGACATTGAAATAAGAGCATAAAATGAATCCTGGTATCACTTACACATAAGAACTTTGCTGAAGGTTTTTAGCTAGTCTCTAATCCCTTTTCAAACATCTTATTTATGGATATGAATGCAATCGAGTTTTACTGCGCTGTGCCATGAGCAGCACACTTATACCCCAGAATAGAAGATGTTCGCTCCCCCTCTCACAGGAACTCTACCAGGAGGCTGTAGTACCGTGTATATCATCTTGTGGTTTATTTCTCATACACACAGCACATGTTCCAGCTGTTTCTTTTCAGCTGTAGGAAAGCTCTCAAGCAAGCATGCTGTAGCTAAGCAATAAGCTGGCAGTTCCCTGTTACTTTAAGGAAATTGATAACTTTAATGGAACAAACTGTCAGATGTCAGAGCTACACCCTACACGGTAAGGGAGTCTGTGTCCCATGTCCAGGTGATCTCAGCACTAAAAAATGCCATCTATTACCATCCCCCTGCTACTGTAGCAGTCCTGCAGCGGGAAAAGAAGGAAGGAGGGGGTGAGGACTGGGTTGTTGAATCTCACTCTCAGCTAACTCACTCACTGCCCAAGTTGTGACATTACCCCGTGGAACAGCACAGAGCGTAACATGTTTTTGTTTTTCCACAGATGATGGTGCAGAGCTGTGATGTGATGCGAGGACTTTCACCTACGCACAGTTTTAAATTAGTATTTTGGAAGGCTGCAACCTCTGGCTTTTTCTGGCTCACTACGCATTCCCTCTTAATGGCCTTATTCTTCGATTCCCAGTTTGCTTGCACACTTCCTTCACAGATACACAAATAAAGAGATTCACAGGTTTGACTATGATTTTTATTTCTATTTACAGGAAATAAACATACCTTTGAGTAGCACATAGCCGATGAGTAAAACTGTATTTTAAATTCAACCTACACAAAATGAAACAAAACCCGAGCACTTCAGTCTCATTTTAAAAATAAAAAAATTTTAAAAAGCCCTTTTAAAAGGCTAAACGCTCATCATTCGAGGTGCAATACTCATCGACATCAGTTCTTGGAAGAGGAGTTTGCAGGCATAGGGCATTCGAACCAAAGATATCTGGAAAGAGATTTCAAAAGGCCTGGATAAGCTCTCCTAAAGGATCAACTTCCACCACCCTCTACACAAATAACTTAGCAAGTTTTTGGCTCCTAAGTGAAGCTGAAGTTATGCATGAAAGCATTTAACAAGAATTGCTCACAGACAGGAAGGGGAAGAGGGAAGCTGAGACTGACTGTAGAGGCTGTACAGCAGTGATCCAAAACCCATTTTTAATGATAAAACCTGCAGCCAAGGGATCTGATCTTAAACAAGAGCCATTTAACAAGAGAACGTGTGCCTGCTGTGCAGTAAATGCAGTGAAGATTTCCAGCAGGTCTCTCTAACAACCCCAACACTCATGTTAGAGTTGCAGCAGCCAGTCCCTAGCACATGAACAAGCCTGTTTAAGGCAACTATTTTTATCTCTGGTGCCACTTTCCCCTTGACATAGTTCTGTAACCAAGCACACACTACAGAGCCTTTTTGTTGTTGTTGTTTTCAAAAAAGAAAAACAAAAAAAAGACCTCCCGTGGGGACCCAGCTCTGCAAGCATAAGTATCTTCATGGCGACAGTCACAAGGGCGATGGCTTTAAATTCCTGCAATTCTGAGTTTTACTTCTAAAAATAAAGCTCTCAAGCGTTTACTTTTAAAGTCTCTGAAAACTCTGCACTGCAAAAGACTGGAACAGCATTTCCTGCCAAGTTACAAGCCAACACTGTAAAATTAATAAGGAAACATCCAAATTAACTAGGACACTATAAACACTTAAAACAGTTATAAAACTAAAATAGCAATTGTTCTGGTGCTGCTTTAAATATTTACTTCCCTCTCCTCCTGTTCACCCGAGTGGCATTTCCTCTTGCCCACAAAGAGAAACACAGGCTGATGAGAACCACACGTACCTGGGTTTTATTACGGCATCCGCGGCATTCATACGTGTGAGTCCTTGTGTTTGCAATTGCCATGATCCCACAGAGGTTGCAGACGTGGACTTGGTATGGGTCTGACGCTTCAAACAACCTCTCTCTCAAGAACTGGGCTGCTCCATGAGCAATCTGGCAATCCCGTTCCATTTCTCCAAAACGAAGGCCACCATCACTGAAAAGAAGAAGGAAAAAACCCCTCAATTTCTGAGTTCATTGGCAAAATGTATCAGTTCTCGTTGGTGGAACAAGTAACTAGTCACAAACACAACAGCAGTATTACAAGGCAGGAGTAAAGCTGTACATTAATTATCCTTTAAGACCTCAGAATATGCCCACCAAATGGCTCTTTCTCCCCCACGTCAACAGGACAGGGGGAGAGCATAAGATGGAAAAGCTCGTAGTTCAAGGTAAAAACGGAGATTGCTTACCAATTACCATCACAGGCAAAACAGACTCAGCATGGGGAAAACTAGTTTAATTTACTGTCCATTAAGAATGGAGCAGGGTGATGAGACACAATGACAAAACTAAAAACATTGTCTCCCCTACTTTTTTCCAGGCTCAACTTTACTCCTTCATTCCCAACCCCTTCCTCCTCTCCCTGCTGCCACAGGGGGAAGGGGGGTTGCAGTCAGTGCACAACAGTTCCTCTTTGCCACTCCTTCTTCCTCACACTTTTTCCCTGCTCTAGCATGGCATCCCTCCCATGGGATAATCCAAACTACTCCACCAGCAGGGAGTACCCTGCAGGGTAAAATCCCTCAGGAACAGTTTGCATCCCCCACAGGTCACAGCTCCTGCCAGGAGCCTTCTCCAGCGTGGGCTTTCTGCAAGGTGCAGCATGGGTATCTGCTTCACCATGGTCTCTCCACAGCCTGCAGGGAGATCTCTGCTCCAGTGCCTGGAGCACCTCTTCTCTGACCATGGTATCTACAGGGCTGTTCCTCTCACATTTTCTCACCTCTGTCTCACAGCTGCTGCAGGGCATTTTTCACTCTTTTAAAATATCTCGCCACAAAGGCCCCACCAGCATCGCTGATGGGATCAGCTTCGGCTAACAGGCACAGGACAACCCCTGGTCCTTTCTCAGAGAGGCCACCTCAGCAGCACCTCCTGCTATCAAAACCTTGACATCTGCACCAAATACATCATCTTAAGCCAAACAAGAAAATGGGTGGCTAATTAGGGTGAGCTAATTAAGTTTCAGCTGCAAAGCTGAGGCAGCTGATTTCTCAGGCTAAAAAACTTCAAAGAAAAAGAAAACAATGTATAGAAACTAATGAAACATCCTTACCGAGATCTGCCTTCCATGGGCTGTCTGTTAAGTATCTGGATTGGCCCTCTTGCACGAGAATGGATTTTGTCATCTACCATGTGCTTCAACCGCTGGTAATATGTAGGACCAATGAAGATCTGCGATGTGATTTTTCGACCAGTAAAGCCATTGTAGAGGACCTAAAGTAGTCAATGAAATCACTGAATCATAAGCCTTACTGTCCATCAAATGTACATCAAAAAATTACAGTAAATTGATATTATGATTATACCTCATTTCCTCTTAGATGATAGCCATAATCTGATAAAAGATTGGAAATCTTCTGCACATTGACAGCATCATTGAAAGGTGTAGCATCACCAATTTCTCCCTTGTTTGCAGACACCTGCAGAAAAAAGATTTGCAAAACCTTGTCAGATTTCTGAAGGACTGGTCAGATGACATTAAGCAGTTTCAAACAGCTATAACTCTTAATGCCAGAAGTTGAGATGCCATGCCTATGACAGTACCCTATTTTGCTTTATCAGCTAGACAATTTATAGTGAGATTTTCAAAAACACACAGTATCAGCAAATCTGCAACTCTTTTTTCTAAGTCATGGGAAATGTTTAGAACAAAAGCAACAGATGAAAGAGTACAACATAGTTTGACTTGCTGGACAAAATTTTAAGGACTGTAGGTCTCCCTCAAGAAGCTTGCTTTTGCTATCAGGTAACTGGAGAACAATCCCTATTTTCAGTTCCTACTGAGTACCTACTGGGGAGTAGTATCTTAAAAAAAGGAAAAAACCCAAAAGCCCCATTTAATTCATATTGCTCAGACATGCAGTATAAAAGATTCTTCTTACCTTCCCCTGAAGACACTCAATCAAGTGACCAATGGTCATACGGGAAGGGATGGCATGAGGGTTGATAATTATATCAGGTGTGATGCCTTCACAGGTGAAGGGCATATCCTAGGGCAGGAAAACAAACAGTGAGTACTTCTCAGAATATCAGCTCTAAGAAAAGCAATTGTGTGGATTCAAATTAAATCTTCTAAAGCATTTCAAGGGCACTGAAGTGGCACATAAGCAGCAACAGTGTCCGTTTCTAAACATATTTTAGTTAAGTCGATATATTGCACCTGAGTAGGTATTCCACAGACAACTCACTTAAGGCAGTACCAATGCTCAGATCAGAGAGAAAATGTTAAGGAAAAAGAAAAATCACTACCTCTTGCCTGTACTGGATACCACAGGTTCCTTTCTGACCATGTCTGCTGGCAAATTTATCTCCAATTTGTGGGATTCTTACAGAGCGTACCTGGAAGCCATAGGAAAACATTCAATACGTAACTTAAATAGAGAAAAAAATTACTAGAAGTAGAAAGCACACACGTCAGTGCTCACCCTTATCTTGCAGAACTTGTATCCTTCCTGGTTAAGGGTTACCATGACCTGATCTACAATGCCAGTCTCACTCGTTCGCAGAAAAGTGCTACAGTCTCTCTTTGTGAAACGCCTGTTGGTGCTTTCCAGTTCGTCTTCGTTTTCTGGCAGCGTTACCGTTTTGCCGATGATGACATCGTCCCCAGACACACGTACCCCAGGAGCTATCAAACCATCATCATCAAGTTTGTCATAGATTGCATGCCTCATACCTTGGGGGAAAAAAAAGAAAAAAAAAAGTAGACTCCCAAACTTTTTAATATGTTGAATTTGTACAGAACAGAAAAGTCTAAATCTGCTTGCACCTTCAGACTACTGCTAATGTGTCTGAAGAGAATTCTATGCAAATATCTCAAGTGATGTATTTTGCTATTAAACCAGAAAATTTTGCTATTTTACATGTCCCCAAATAAAGACTAAATCAGCTCAACAACATTAACTACCCTGCCCACAACAATTTAATTTAAAACCTCAGTCTTCATACATTCCTGTATCTTACCTTGGCAAGTTTCACGTGTAGGCTTTTCAAAAACTTCCTCTTGGTCATAGCCTTTTTTAGACTCTTGCTCTTTGTATGAGCGGTAGAACACAGATCTGAAATAAAGTTATAAAGCCCTCTCCAGTGAAACCAGCATCATTTTTCCTCATCTGTACATCTCAATTTCACTATAATCATGCTTTTATCACATATTATGGGTACTATTACAGGAGATTCTAGAAAAGTTTCATGTGAGCCACAAAAGTCTAATAGTCTCACACTTATTCTACGCTGGAAGGCAGTAGATCCAAGATACCAAACACAAAATTCTTGGGCTCAACTTGGACAAAAGAAAATGAACAAAACTAGAAACCCATTGACCCGCTGACAGCTAACCACAGGCATCTAAAAGCTGTAATATGCACAGTCACAACAGTTGCCAGTTGCCCCAACAGCCGTTCCTAGTGAGAGGAACATGCCAATCCTCACTGGGAGCAGCTGTGATGCTACTAAAGACAAGACGATATTACAAAGCCGCAATACTGCCTCTTCTAGCGTAATATGACCTCTTCTTGAGCCTCTGGACAACTCAAAGTCCTTTTTTTTTTTTTTCCTTCCAAATAGCTAAAAAATTTACAAAGTCTCACCTGAAAAAGCCTCTGTCAACAGCAGAACGGTTCATGATGACAGAGTCTTCCTGGTTATAGCCTGTGTATGATGCAATGGCTACAATCGAGTTGATACCTGTAATATATAGACCAAATTATTTGACAGGATGCACACACACCAGAAAGGCATTACTTATAACTCAAAATAAGCTGTATTCTCTACAATGAAGCTGTTCTACACTTCCTCAGATAAAATCTCCATGCCCCACAGACAAAAAACATGTGGTACCACCAAATGCAACTTTAGGTAGAAAAGAGTCAAGAGTGACCCCTTGTGAAGAACCCAGCAAACACCAATGCAGAAAGTGCATTTTTCCAGTTAGATTTTAGCAGACTATATGAATAAAGTAGTTTCAGCTGCAACGCTAGAAATGTATTTTTTGCAGTCTAGGTGTCAAGCTACAAGTTGACATTTAGCCTGTAACTATTTTTTTTAAGTTATATACATTTGCTAAATATTATACACATGACACTTGTGATATAGTTTAAACAGCAGTATTTTTGTTTAATAAATGTTAGATGACAACATACCTGCTGGTAACTCTCTAAATCGCAAGTACTCCATGGAGCGTGTTGTTACAAGGGGCTTCTGAGGATAATACAACACATGTGCCAGCGTATCCATACGGACGTGAAAGTTTGTAATGTAAACTCCCATAGCCTGTTTACCCATAGCAGACTGGTAGGTGTTCCTGGGAGACTAGACAAGACAAGGAAAGATCAGTGTATATGTACATAAAGCTCTTTACACATCCACCTGTGGATTTTCTATCAACTCTAAAAGCAGGATGTCAGAAGCAAGGCACTGACCTGGTTGTGATCAGGGAAAGGGATAATAGATGCGCATACTCCCAGGATCATCGATGGGTGAATCTCACAGTGCGTGTATGTTGAACAATATGCCACACCTTTCTCCTGCAAGTCATCTGGAGTCATTGCCAGCATCACAGTCTCTTCTTCCAGTGTATCAATGTACTCTACTACACCACTGGCCACGAGATCCTGCCAACTGAAAAATCAATGTCTGAAATACTCAACTAACACATAAAATGTTTCTCTTCAACAGTAACAAGAACAAGGACATCCCTGACTTATTATTACTATACTGTCTCAGTGTGATAAAATAAGCTACCAGGCAGAGAGAGCATCTTTGTGTTGCACAAAGCTTTAAACATTTCTCTCTCCAATCTGAGTAAACTTGCAGCTTCCAAGATGGAAAATCAGACATTCAGTCGAATTTCACAGAATCATTGAATGGTTTGGGCTGGAACGGACTGTAAAGATCATCTGGTCCAACCCCCCTGCCATGGGCAGGGACACCTCCCACCAGACCAGGCTGCCCAAGGCCCCATCCAACCTGGCCTATTGAACCCCTCCAGGGAGGGGGCATCCACAACTTCCCTGGGCAACCTTTACCAGTGTCTCAGTACTCTCAGAGCAAAGAATTTCTTCCCAATATCTAATCTAAATCTACCCTGATTTCAGGAACATATCAGGAAAATATCTTACCTGTAATTGTTATACTCTCGTTCCTTCAGCTGGTCAATATGCCTTTTCTTCAACAGCAGCTTCTGTTTTTCCACAATTAAAAGTGGTCGACAAATTCTGCCTGCATCAGTATAGATGCGGATTTCTCGCTCACGAATATCCCTAATCATTGAGACCTGTACATGAAAGCAGCACCCCATGAATACAAAGTCTTAGCCTTGTATCAGAACTATGGATCACAAAATAGGATAACAAAGTTCCCTAAAGCACCTTACAGGTCCCATCAGCAGCACAGAACATACATTAACACTCCTACAAACAGGAGCATTTCAAGAGACTATTTTCAACGGTTTTCTTCAACTGGATCCTCTTAACAAACCACACACAACATCAAACAAAAAAACCCACCCCCCCACCCCCCCCCCCCCTAAATTCCCGAAACAAACAAATAAGCAATGTGAAGTACGTTCAGAAAAAGATTTGCAAATAATACCATTTGGAGCTTGCAAAGTCGTATCAAGGCATTATCCTCTCTCATCTGAAAAGATACCCAAACTCTAGATGTAAAATTTATACCTCTGACACAATGATGTCCATCTGACGACGGAGCTTCCTTAGGGTATTCATGAGCTGCTCTGGATCTTTGTGTATTCCTACCCAGCAGCCATTAACAAAGATCTTGGTAGCACTAAAAAGAGGGGAAAAAAATCCAGTAATAATAAAAACATAAAACACAAACACTTGAACTGCTGTGCAGGATAAAAGGCTGAAATCTGTTTAAACAATTTCATTTGCACATACTCAGCTATTGCTGCTGGAGATATTTCTTCCAGGTTTTCCATACTCCACTCTTCCAAGAATTCCAAAATTGGGGATGGCTGAGACCCCACAGAAATATAAGCCATCAGGGCCAAGTTCTTCACAAGTCCTACTGCATGACCCTAGTAGAAACACAAAGTTAACTTGCATTTCCAGATCAAGAGATTCCCCCAAAAAGGTCTGAGAACTTAAACTTTCAGTCCTCAAGAAACTGGACACAAAACATGAATGCATCATTCAACTACAGAGTTAGCTATAAAGCTAAATATTCACATCAGCATTTAAAGTGCAAGTGACCATCACAATTGCCATGGCTATAGCACAACCAGCAGATAAATGCAGTTAGGCATAAGTACTGACATAAATATTATTTTCATCACCTCTGGGGTCTCAGCAGGGCAAACCATTCCCCACAGCGTATTGTGCAGCTGTCTGGGCTTTGCTAGTTTACCATCTCTACCAATTGGAGAATTCAGGCGTCTCAGATGGGAGAGTGTTGATGCAAAAGTCAGGCGGTTCAACACCTGCACATAGTAAGGAATTCCGTTAGTTAAACCTTAAGTGTATAGTTGACAGACGTGATGATACATTAGAGCAAAGGATCAAGGCCCTCTAGAAACGATGTACTTCAAAAGAACTACAATAGCTGTGATTTTTGTTAGCTACACTTTTTAGTTCACCTCCGTTAATCTTAGACTGTTTACCCTTAAAATCTGTTTTTTTTTGTAGTATAGCTTACTCTGATTAGGTAACTAGAATGAGCCATACTTGTAAAAATACTTTTTAAACTGCATTTTCACCAGGAGGGTTTGCCAGTACAATGACACAGGGATCTTTTCAAACTTAAGTTTGAAAAACTAAGACAACTTTGTTATTAGGAGTGAATCAGCATTTACATTTTTTTCAGAGTCTGCTCAAGGCTCCTCAAAAACTTAAGAAAAATTAATTTTACAGCCTGAAAGGTGAGAGTTTATATAGAAAGCAAACAAGCCCCTCATACACATACCCCAACAACACATCATCCAGGGACACTTCCCATCTTCACCTCTTTCCTAACTTTGCCCTCCCCAAATTATGATCTCACCAGGGCTCCGGACAACAAAAAATGCTGGCATTTAAAAACCCTTGTCTCTTTCCTGTTTCCACCTTTATAGGAAACAAGCTCAACTAAGCGCTGCTCTGGGCTAATAAAGTCAGTGCTCCTCATTATTAGGCTGTGGAATACATAAATGTTATATTATGAGGTGTCACTCAAATGTCTTTAGCCACCTGTGAAGCACTGGAAGTAATTAAAGGAAAGAAATCCATCTTACCTAAAGATTCCCCGGGGACTAGGGCTTGACCAGACACACAAGCATATGTTTTAACACAAAAAATCTTAACAAGAGTTACACCAGCTGTTTAGCAGTGAACACAATAGCTAAAACCAAAACCAAACAACAAAAAATATCCCAAACCCCACACCAGATTCATCTATTTGGATCTTCACCTGTTTCAGCTATGGAAACTTCCTTTTAAAATGTTTTTATTTAACATACAACATGCACAGTTTCAACGTTAAACACTTCCACGATACAGTTTTACTCTTATGTATATCTGACAAATGCTACTGTGCCTTTTTCAGCTGTTGTACCTGAGATACTCCTGCTCTGGCCTGATGAGCTTTCTTTTGATCACCCCAGTTTCCAGTCGCCAATGAATACTTCAAACCATCTGAAATAATTCTTGTTTTAATGGCCAGTTCCAAGTTGAAATCTTTCCCTCTGTCAATAAACTTTTGTGCATATATTCTCACTTCCTTCAGCAAATTCTTAAACATTCTGTAGAAGAAGATGCCAAGAAACACGATTAAACAGTACTGTAGCAATTCAGCCTACTCAGCACTATTTGGAGAAAATGTCACTGGCCTCCTGGAAAGAAGCAAGGAATTTGTAACTAGAGGAGGAAGGGGAAAAAAAGCAAACCAAATTAACCTGTTTGTGAACATGCAAAAATACGCCTCAAAACAAGCTGATGCTAGCTGCCTACTATTAGAGAAAACTTATCTACTCCATGAAAATGTCATAAGCAGATACAGGCTGTGTTGCCCAAGATTGGCTACCAGACACATCAGAATAGTCTGACTGATCTGGGGATGAGTGGCTGGAGCTGCCAGGCAG